TGGGAACCCCACCGGCAAATGGCACACGGAGTTTGTCTACCCCGGGAACAACTGCCCATTGGAAGACAGCCTTGCATTTGAAATTTCAGGGATTATTTTAAATGCCGTGATTGTTTCCTGAAATTAGGTATTTTCTGGCAAGAAGGAAAAAACACCAAGCCTTCAAACAAAATTACAAGTCTTCATCCGTCCATGCGGTCCCAGTACGCCTGCAAACACGTTCAGATACTTCATGGCTAGGTTGCCGTGTCAGTTTGAATATTTTCTTCGTCGATTCGTCTAATATCGATATAACAGTATAATTTTACTATAAAAAAATGATCACCACCACCCTCAGCCATTGTCTATCCACTGCTGGACGAAGGCCTCCTCATGTCATCACTATCTCTAACAGTTTCAACGGTGCCACAATCACTCACTCCTGCACATGACCTCTGATCTAATCGCTTAATGTCTGTGGCAGTCATCCTCTCGGACATGTTCCCTCCTTTAGCTGCCACTCCCTTCATCAGTTCTGGCATCACTCTTGGCCGTAATTCCATATCTACTTTCCTTAAGTCAATATTAGGTTATCTGTATTCGTTCCCTGATCTGTACATTCCTCTCTCTGACTCGGGCGTAATGCAAAGCTTGCAATGTTGCATAATTTTTCACGCACTTTTCAGTTTTAGTTTTTCTTTGTCAACATTAACAACGTATACATGCGTGAAATTTTCCATTACAAATTCATCTTGTCGTTCAAATGCACGACGGCAGACAAAAAAAGTTACCAAGAAAAAATACTAAATGTAAAACCTTCACGATCGTTGCAATGCAGAGAATGGAAGCCTCTTAATTGCAAAGCTTTTCAATCCATCATCATTCAGCGAGCTATAAAAGTTGCATCACGAATGCAGTAAGTGGTTGGCAATCTGTGAAACTGGTATAAGGCTCAAAATTAGAATATTTTTTTTATACTGGAGGAATCCGATCAGCTATAAAACTATTTTTCAAAGATGTCCAGTAGGGGCGGGTAAGAACGTTACAATAACAAAACACAGTACAAAAAAAACATGATGGTAGTGCAAAGTATAAGAAAGGTAAACAAATCACCCAAACACATACAAATTAAACTAAACCATCTCCATCCTACTAGACAAAGCCCACTGAGGTATTAACTTATTTTTCAGAAGCGACCTGGCCACAAATGATAGCTCAACAAAGTGGCACCATCATTTGGACATTTATAGCACCAAAATATTCTAAATAATCTTGAAATGCATTTTTCTAAATGTGGAGGGAAAAAAAAGGACCCGGAGAGAAAAAAATCCACGCAACCATGGGGAGAACATACAAACCCCAAATATAAAGGCGCCAAGGAATGGGATTGAACCCCCGACCTCGTGCATACCATGCGAGGAAAATAACCATCTCGCCGCCGTGGCTCACCCACTCATCCCCCCGTCCAACATTTTCCACACGGCCCCTCAACCTCAAGTCACGGACCAAGCATACGCGGATGCCGTTTCACCGGAGCCAGTGACAAGGTGGCGATATGACGTCAGTCTTGGGGAGAATGTCGCTGCTTTTAATACAATGAAAACGACCACACATGCATTGACTTTAATGGACCGGCAGCTTTTGTGGTGCAACTGGGAATGCCTTCTGCTGGCTTGAGTTGGCGAAAAAAAAAAATCGACATTCAAGAGATGTGCTTTTATCATGAACTATTGGCACACGAGGGGGTGGGTGGCCAGCATCACGCCCAGCCGCCTTTGTTTCCCAAGTGGCAACGCTTACACACCCCACCAGGTACTCATTTGAGGCTAAGTGATATATAAGAAAGGCTCAGGACCGGTTCGAATATTTAGCACTGTTAATGGTCGCGAGTAAGCATCAAACTCGGGTCGCTGGGTTCCTAGTACAGCACATTAACCACTACACTACCGCACCATTTACCCCCATTCATATTATTCACACATTCGTATTTTTCACACTGATTTGTATTTATATATATGATAATTAAGAATGTGAAGCTGCAATACGCACAATATCAACTCGCTCTCGGAGAGAGAGAGAACAACTTGGAAGTGTGAGGAACCACAGTCAAGCGGGAGAATGCAGCCACGCGGTGAGACGGCGTGAACAATTTCCCAAGCTCTGCAGTCCTCTGTGTACGAAGATGTTTACTGCTAATTAATTAGTGCTTACATTGGGGAGAAAAAAAGGGCACCTGGGGAAAAATCATGCATGCGAGGGGGCAACACTCATACAGACCGAACAAGTAGAGTCCACTCGAGCAGGCCAGAGGGGTACGATACCTCAACACCCATGGGAAGGGAGTTCCACCACAACATTCGTGTGATTCACCAACCCTCACCTCCAAAATTCTAGATGACACGCATGCACCCCCACTACCCAGGAATATTATATTCATAAAATAACTTTGAATGTTTCTTCATGCAGGGAGCTGTTCAGTTTAACAACATAATTAGGTACTGCATCAGAGTGGTACTTTCCATGATAGTTTTTTGTTATTGATAAGTGTACTTTTAATATGAATGGTTTAACGCGTTAAAAAAGATTTGCTTCACTCAACACATACTAATGAAAACTGTTAATGTGTCAATTAAAAACTGTTCAACTGTAAAAGCTGTTTAAATGTCCCAGTTTTCTCAATGCCCCACCGTGTGAAGTGAATTCTCCAAACTGCAAATAGATCATTCAATGTCTTCCCTCTTCCCTTTTTCCCAAAAGATGGGCCGGAAAAGTCAGCCTCCTCTATTGCATTGTTAATTTATGAGGCAGTGCTAATGAGGGATGTGGCGAGTTTATTTTGTCTTGTGCTTTGTGCACCGCTGCCAATGCTGTCCGTCTTGACTCTTTGTTTAGAAGCTACACACTTCAGAGAACACCACCTCTAATAAGCCCTGCCTTTTATCAGCCAACCGGTATTATCACCACTTGGTCCGCTCCTCCCATTTTCGTTCCAGCTATTATGACCTCCATTTGGACCTAAATTATTTTTCCATGGCAACTAACCAACGGATTTCTGCAGAGTCAAGAGAGAATTGGCAAAACAATGGTACAGCCTGAGAGGAGAAAATGGATCGCAGGGAATTATGGTCTAATCGGAACTGTCAGCATGCCCCAAAGCAAGCATCAACTGTCAATGAAAAGTGGTATCTTTGAGATGAAGGTCATACCTCTGCAATAAAATAATTTTGAATAAATATGCAACGTTCCTATGATAAGACGATCTACAGGTCACCCTGAGATAAATACCTTATCAATTTAGCATTCCGCATTGGGACATCGGGAGGAGAATGAAAGTAGTTATGTGAAAGCACAATGTATTTACGCCAAGGTTTCTGCAAGGTTTCCTCTCACACACAACAAATAGTCAAACATTACAATTAGGACCCTCCTGACACAGTGCCAGAGCTTCAATAACAACTTTCTCTCCTCCTGACTCACAATTGGTATCTTTTTGGGTTCGACCGCAAAGCTATAATTGTCCAATTAGACCTGTAGCCCTCCACCACCCCACACAGTCAAACCGATCAAGTTGTCACGTGGGGCAAATGCAGCCAATTTATTTTGTTTCTCAGCAAATTGGTGACATTAAAAACAAGCAGAATATTTGACAATTTTTTTTTTAATTCGCTAGAGATCCATACCAACATTATCAGGTGGTACCAAGGGCTCAGATCTGTCCGGGTGAATGCACTGCCTAATCTTGATCTTCAGGTGGATGCAATTATGTCATAAGAACAGCCATGCAGGTGAATCGGGTTGGACCGGTTCATACTGATCGCTTGGTTACAATGTACAGGGGGTTAAAATAGTACACTTTAATTGTTGGAGAAAATAGGGTATCCTTAATTATAGCAAGGTGTATTGTGTTAGTTATAATTTATACTAGTTTTTGTAAAGCTTAATAGTTTATAATAAAAAAAATTCCCCTTTCGGGGCTAGGCATAGTATAATTGTACCAGGTGAAAAAAAGTGATTATTTGTTAAAAAATTTGAGCCAGATTTATCAAATGTATTGTTCGTAATTTACATTATTGTAATTCAATAATGGGTTACTTTAATTCAAAAGGCCAGACTTATTTCATGTTATAATTCTAGTTAAGCAGTAATTAATTAAGTTACTTAAATTAGCACCATGGGGATTAACACTGAGGATTTAGTGAAGATGGTTGATTTAAGAGATTGTTGGTGTGGTAAATCATTGTAATGAAATAATCAATTGAATGAAACTAAACGGCTAGAATTATTTATCCATGATATAAATGTCTTCACTCCTCCCCCAGATTCTCTCCACCCAAGTCACCAACGCCTCGTGTCAAAGTCTCCGGTCAACCTCTATTCAATAGGAGGTCACCCCTTGTAGGCAGCTGCTCCATTCATATTTAAATGCCTACCCGTCTGCCTTCATCAAGTATCTTCATCCACACCTTTACCATAGCACCGTTTTTGTTCTCCCCTTATCGGCCCTGCAGCTCTGTATCACCTTTGTAAAACTACTGTGTATGTAAAACTACTCTCTCTTCTAAGTCCCCTACATATGCACGTGCCCCCTATTAGCTGACAGTCTTTCTAACCCCAAACTGAACTGTATGTAATACATCACCGCATATAATGTTCGACTTGGCTAAGGTATGCCGTCTGCCTACACACTTGCTTTGTTGGACATTTTGACACTTGTACAGCATCCTTAGCCATTGAAGATCGCCGATTGAAATGCAGGATTACTAATAAAAATATGAATTGCGTAATTGAGCATTTGTTAACTGTAACAGAATACAGCAATTATCATAACACATCATTCAAATAAAACAAAACAATACTGCACGAGCCAAAAAACAAATGCCACCCGGTACCGACTCAAAGAATGGAAACATTCCGATTCTACAAACTAAATAAAATTCCACTGCGACGGATCACACGCGTGGAAGGGGAGCGGGTGGGAGTGGGGGGGGGGGGGGCAGGTGGAGTGCTGAGGAAGTGCGCACCTCTGTTTTGATGTTGGAGTCGCGGTAGCACAGGTGCTGTAGGTAGGCTGCCGCGTTGCCCTGGATCGATGGAAGGTTGTGCTGGAGCATCTGGATGACCTCCAGGAGGTCAGGGTCGCGCCAGCCCAGCTCTCTGCACGCACGCATGCACATTTTCACGACGTTAGTCTATCGTCGGCGTGTTAGTCTTATGCAGCCGACAGTTACTCATCCGTCATAGATGAGCTTTGCTCTGCAGAGGTGCCCGGGTGGTGAAGTGGGCAGAGCACCGAGCTGGCACTGCTGAATTCCCAGGTTTGAATGCTGCGATTAAACCCGGTTCTCAAGTTTAGTCAGTCAATGGCTTCAGCCATTTCTATCAGGAGTTAAATACCAATATTCTTGAAACAATAAAATGATAGAATTTTTTTTTATTATTTTATTGTTTCCCTTCTACGTGGTGACTTTACTGAAAGAACCAAGAATATGAATCCCTGCGGTCACGAAAGCTTTAAATCAAACTTTAAATACCAATGTTGAGGTCTCCGATGCTATGAGATGGCTGTTCCCTGACAAAGGTTAAAGACACTGTTCGCTACAGAGTTCCAAGTTTTATATTTTTCCCCACAACTTTGTTCATAATACATAATAATAAAAAATGTAGAGCCCTTTATGAATTCACTAAAATCAACGTTACATGGGCTCGCCCAAGGGGGTGTCCACGCTCAACCTCGTGCTGCTTCAGATCATCGCTCCCGATGATGCGGAAGACCATGCCTATTGCAGGAGGCCTGGCTCTGTATGGGCAATGGATCGCAACACCTGGATAAACATTTGCAATGGCCCATTTGATGGCTGGGTGATTACTACGACTGAACGAAGGCCTCCCAATGTTGCATTAGCTATCAGGGTTCTTAGATACTATTTCACCACACTGCTTAGTGCAGGCTGGTGAAGTGGGGGGGGGGGGGGGTACACCCAGGATGAGTTCATGTTAGCCATGACCAGGAATTTAACTCAGGTCGCCAGATTCCTACAGAAGATCACCTACCACTATACCACGACCACCCCCCCCCCCCCCAAAAAAAAAAACTGATGTATAAATAAATGTGGTGCTTATTCATGGCATGATGTTTCTTTATAATTTATGAAAGGTCAAATAATATTTTCCTTTTGTAAAAATGGTTTGATTGGCAGGGAGACGTCCAGGCAGACAGAAAGCAGCATAAAACATGAAAACAGTAACTCCCACACATCACATATTCATGCGTAAACACTCATGAACTCAGAGACAATACATCTATGCGTGTGTGCGCGCGTACACACACACACACAAAACGCAACCACTCATTCAAATGCAGTTGCTTAGAATTCATATATGCTTTCACAGATTAAAAAATATACTCGTTGTCTCCTTCGCTCTCTTTTACTTGCTCAGCGGGATCATGCATGCATACATAATCACACTAGCACTCAGGAGCACTTAATGTCACACAAACAACACAAGCACGCCAGGGCTCGCACATGCACAAGTGTGCGCACGCCTAAGCAGACACACACAACAAAGAAAAAATAAATCAGGTAACCTCGACACGTAGGCACGACACGACGCTAAAGCCAACAGCGGGCCCGAGCGAGGTGGTGCGGGGGGGAGAATCGTACTTGAAACGACTTTCAAACTCCGCTCCAGTGCAAAATAGCTTCCCCGCGGAATCAGCGGCAATTTCAACAGTTAACCGTTTGATGGATTCGGGCTGAATTACTTCAGCCGAATCGGTATTGCACACCACCCGTGTGCAGCGTGCTACGATGCAGCTGTCAATAGCAGATGAGCGATGCTTTTTTTGATTCATACGCTTAAAAAAAAATCATCATCTATTTTAGAAGCAACTGCTTGAGTGAATGGATACCCAGTTGTCTGTCTGGATGGTTGGCTCACTGGTCTGGCTTTTCGACTGGCTTATGAAAAGGCTGTGCATATAAATTGAAAGCCCAAGCCTAGCAATAGCCTATGAAATGGCACAGATGGTCCAATTAACTTAATCTGGTGGCAGCAGTGATTTTTAAGTCACAGGATCGCACACTGTTTATGTGACACGAAAAAAAGTTGACATTAAAATGTATATAATGGCTGCAGCTTTCCACCATCAGGTGTGACCGATGTTGATGCGTGCAAGGGGAGAGTAAAGTTTAACCATTCGGCAATAGGAGGTGCGCGCAAAGCACATGGACCATGACGACAGCAGTTGGAACGCACAGAAAGTGACGAGGTATTTACTGAACAAGCAAAATGACAATGGTAGGGTCACGAACATTTTTGTCACGAGGGTTTTAACTGGAAGAGTAAACTTGGAGAAAAGTACGTAGACTCAGCTGCTGCTGGCTTGAATCCGTTTATTGCATCTGTTCAGTGAGTTGCCTGACGATGGTGAGAAGAGGCTTGGAGGGGGCTCCTAGTTAGTCTCTTGACGAGAGACGGTGACAACTGCAACCAGTGTGCCTGAAATGATGGAAATCTTGTGCTATGGTGAATGCAGTCTAGAAATTCATTGCGAAGAGAAGAGCGTGGTATTTGAAAGTGGCCAAGTTGCTCTGGGGGTCAAGAACACAGTCGGCCGGCACGGCCGAGATCTGGGATTTGAATACAGGATTCAATTCGCCCCGTTGCCTAAACCAGACTCTGACCAACGACTGCACCAAAGCAAAGACTCGTCAAATTAATGATTAAATTGCATTCCTCACTTGATTTGCCTAAATCTCTCCTCTGATAATTAAAAACATTGGTTACACTGGCATGTCGCAATCTCAGGCACGGCGTATGGGGGTAAGAGTGACGCCTACACTAAAGGCGCCACTTTGATGATTGTTCACAAGTCCTGTGAAAAAAATCTTGCAACTGTTCTTTGACCCAGACAGAACACGACTCTGTGAGATTTGCAAATGGATTATGTATATCTCGACATGTTGCTGATAGCATAATTTGAATAGAACTGGGAGTAGGGACCATATACTGCACTGCAGGATAAAAGCACTTTTTTACATATACAAGGGACACAGTCTATATTAGGCTGGTCGAGGGAGATGGCAAAGGCCAACTTCTGATACAAGCACGCTTTCGATATAAGCACGGCGTGCGATGTATTGACATCGCGGGCACCACGTGTATGTGGGTGCAGTAGCGGCCCTAGAGGGGCTCTGTGAGCACTGACTGTCAGTGCTGGATGGCACCACGCTCTCCGTGCAGTGCCGACCCCTACAGGATGGGGTGTCAGGGTGCCGGCCACAGGAATGGGGTTACAATAGGCCATGGCACTCTGGTTGACCCCGAAGGACACGTGACCGGTAAAGTCTACACAGGGGCCCCAGGTGGGGGCTATGGGTGGTCACGTGTCAGGGTCGAGATCTTGCTCGAGGATTCTAGAAGGTGGTCGTGGCTAAGGGCGGAGCCAACCACGCCAAGGAGGATATAAGCCGGGTCCCTGAAAGGGACCGGCTGCTGTTGTTCATCCTGAAGAATCTACGTTCTGTGTTCTACAAGAGTCACCAACACGTGGACGTGGACCCCAGCTGAGGTTCTATCCGTTGTAGCTACTCCCAGTGTTATCAGTGTAGTTAGCCTGGTGGTCCACCACCATAAATTGTTATCTGGTGAAGGGGCAGTTACCCCTTTGTGTTGGTATCAAGTGCAGTCTGCGACTCCGTTAAACTCACTACATTTGTATTAATTAACTGATATAAACACCTATGTGGGGAATACAACTGTTGGAATGGGCTTTCATAGCACATACATTATTCATGTGAAATAAATCACTTTATAGTGCAAGTCTACTGGAAGCTCACAAAAATGTACGGACATTGTCCAGCTTGTAATGTTAATAATCTCCCAAGGGACAGCTTTAATATGTGAGTGTTCAAGAAGCTTACTAAGTGGACCAGTTTTGCAAGCTTATTACACACCAAGCATTGACCAGAACAATCGGATAAAAGACCACCGCATATTTTGGAATTTCCAATTATTCCATACGGTAATGGGGCCAGACAGAGATGGAGCAAATCCAAAAACTACACATAAAAGATGTTTCAGAAGTGATTCATCCACCTTAACCCATTCACCCACAATCTGCTAAATAGAGTACAGAATATCCAATTAAGTCCTGACAAGGCGACATTGCATTTGTTTTTTTTCTATCGCTGTTACATGAGCACTTGAGTACGGCACGTTCTATTCGGTATTGATAGAAAGAAAGAAAATACTTGAGCGATCAATGTCCTCCTTTAGCCAGCAATTTAAATGGCTCCCGTTAGCCGTGCCAGAAAAGCAATTAACCCTCTGCCTCTTTCTTGTCTGCCCTGTACTTTCAGAGCTGGGCATGACTGTAAAGCATGCACGGCAGTCAAACCCGATCTCATCAAACCTCCGAGGCAAAGGAGGGATGTCCTAATAAAAGCATGAATTGCTTGACCATCACGGTAAAGCCTGGCACGCACATTTAGGGGCACCATATGTGCTCAGTAGGGGGGAAAGATTAAACTCCACCACGCAATCCACAGAAAATGTGATCGATCGTTACAATTCAGAGTTGCGATTTTAAGAAATACTTTTTTTCAAGAGTGGTGAACGTAAGAGCCACCTATCAGCTACAGGGGTCGTGCAAAACCAGTTAAATACAACACTTATAATGTACTAGCTGTACAACCCGGCTTCGCCCAGGACTTGGATTCACCACGCCCGCCGCCTTTGTCTCCCCAGTGGCGATGTTCACACAGCAGAGCAGTTACTCGTTTGATGCTGAGTTGACCTAGGGGAGGCCCAAGACCGGTTCAAATAATCATCACCGGTGTTGGCTGTGAGCGGGAATCGAACTCGGGTCGCCGGGTTCGTAGCGCGGCGCGCTAACCACTACACGCACACTCACACGCACACAGATACACACGCACAGACAGCGCGCTAACCACTACACATGACAGATTTGACGTCACAGCTCACTTGCCGTGCAAAACAAATAAAGGCATTATTGAGCTCCCCCCCCAATAAAAAAAGTCTATTTTTATAATTTTTGCATGGTGTAAAGTCTGGAAAGTACCCACATGGCAAATTTCAAGTTTGTTGCATGTCAGGAAGTGTGCTAAACATTTTGAACAGACACACATTCA